AAAAAAAAAAAAAAAAAAAGGAGAAGAAGAAAGAAAAGGAAAGAGTATACGGCAATACATACATAATTTTACAAGAGACAGCTAAAACAAGTACACAATACACTAGGGAAAAATTAAATTTCCTGTAGATGGGCCCTTCTTTTTCGTCTCAAAACCAACCTAGTAACCTAACTAGTGTTCCTCAACGTGTGGGTCCCCAATTGAACAGGAAAACATAATTCCAAATGCAAACCCAGTAACTGAATAAAGTTTCAACTCCAAAACAAGACAAAAAACAAAGCTCTACACAGTTCATGCATAACCCCACACAGATAACTAAAAAAATCATCATCATCATCACATCCGGGTCTCAATTTTTTTCGCTTGCTTCAATTACCAAAAAACACAATCCGAGCCCTCCAAAGAAGGTAGAGAAAAAATGGTTCAACCTCGCGTACAGGGGGGAATTCATACCTTGTGGCGAGTAGTGCTGTTGGTTGCCAAATGACTTCCTGGGTGTGGCAGCCCCAATGCGCATCTTCCTTGACACACAATAAACACCATTCATCTCGGTCATAGCCTGTGTCCTCTCAGTGTCATCTCCAAACCTCACAAAACCATAACCCTTGGAGCGGCCCGTACTGGCGTCAATCACAACCTTGGCAGCCTTGACAGACGGGTACTTGCTAGCAAAGGTCTCATGGAGGAGAGCATCCGTGACTTCGACAGCCAGGTCGCCCACAAAGATGGACAGATCTGAGCTGTTGGTGGTGTTGGTGGTGTTGTTCGAGCGCTTGTCGCCCGCGCTGAAGGCAGCCCAGTTGAGGCGGAAGAGCTGATCTGTGTTGGGCATGGCCAGGCCAGAGTAGGTCTGGAGGACCTTCTCGGCTGCCGAGTGGGACAAGAACTCCACAAACCCATACCCTTCAGGAATACCCGTCTGCTTGTTGCGGATCACCTTTATGGAGTAAACCTGCATGTGAACAAGGATTAAATTTTTTTTAAAAGAAAAAAATCGTTGAAACTTCGAAAAAAAAGAGAAAGATTGGTAGGGGTGACAGAAGTTGCAAATATTGGTCCCAACAGTTAAATATACTTTTTTCTATTTATTTATTTACTTATTTATTTATTTTCATTTTTCAAATTTTGTAACTTCAGTCAAGTGTTTAACACTCTTGGTTCTAGAGAAGGTGTTCGTTTACACTTTTGTTAACAAACAATACAACAAATGTTTGTGGGGCTAAATATAATAAAATTTATTCCTATTGGATTCTTTACTCGAGTTGTCAATATTGGGACAGAAAGAGTTAGGGATATAATTCCATGGGACCAAAGGTGTAATTTCTTAAGTAATAGCCAACTAAATTAATACAGACAACAAAATCTTAGTTAGGAAATCTTGAATACCTGTGAAACTTCAAGTTGTTATTTTATGTTTGGGAAGAGAAAGCAGGACATTATTGCTACAATACTAAAATTTTCAAGATGGGCAGCTTTCAGTGTCTCACATTATCTTTATAATGTTTCCTTGCTAGCAATGTCTCAGTTCAACTTCAAAGTCCCAGTGCATTATTTCCTATATATGTCTTTTCTCTTACTTCCTGCTTCTCAATTGTTGCTCCTATAGCGAGAAGCAGACGCTAGTGCATAAATACTCATGAGTTGTGTGTGTGTGTGTGTGTGTGTAAAGAGGTTCCTTAAACACTTATACTTCAAGACAAGAATTCATACAAACAATGGACATATAGTTTATATCGAGCAATCAAAAATACTAATTGAAAAGAGGCTACTACAAATCAAATACAACTCAACCACATACCAAAATGTATTCAAAATCTAGCCATACAACAAAGTTCCACAATTTAATTTGTAATATATCAATCTAAAATATTTTTTTTCCAGTTAAAAATACAACCTTTTACCAAAAAACTTAATACCAATAATTATTTAGTGATTAATATCCAATATCATTTAACATAATTAATCATTATGATATACAAACTGCTGCAGCTGAAATGTGGACCTTATTTAATTTATACATTAACCATTATAATACACATGAGGGATAAGAAAATTTTTCTTTTCAAACATAATGCTTTTAAACATAAAATTTAACAGTTTTATTGCTTTAATTAACATTTACTATTAAAACGTAAAACAATACTTTACTACCAGCATCTTACTATAGAACAGTCTCATACAAGTTTCAGCAATCAAATGCCACCTGTACTCGACTTCTACTTCATAAGCAATCATAACCACATTATCTGATCAAGTTAACCAAATATTAAAAATAAAACCCAAGGGCAAGATTCTTAACAAACTTAATTGCTTCAATTAAGAAATCGACTATTTTTTCCTCGAAAAAAATAAAGAAGCAAAAACAAATCGATGTATAATGTACCTCTCCAGTCGAAGCAAAGCAATTACGGAGATAATCCTCATCCATCCAGCCACAGAGGTCGCCAACCCAGATCGTGCGATTCACCCCACTAGACCCCCCTCCCTGCGGCGGCGGCGGAGGAGGCGGCGC